CGCTGGGCTCTTTCCAATTTTTCCACATCCTTCTTGTAGTGTGGGGCCCAAAACTGGACACAGTACTCCAGATGAGGCCTCACCAATGTCGACTAGAGGGGAATGATCATGTCCCTCGATCTGCTGGCAATGCCCCTACTTATACAGCCCAAAATGCCGTTAGCCTTCTTGGCAACAAGGGCACACTGTCGACTCATATCCAGCTTCTCGTCCACTGTAACCTCTAGGTCCTTTTCTGCAGAAATGCTTCCTAGCCATTTGGTCCCTAGTCTGTAGTGGTGCATGGGATTCTTCCATCCTAAGTGCAGGACTCTGCACTTGTCCTTGTTGAACCTCATCAGTTTTCTTTTGGCCCAATCCTCTAAATTGTCTAGGTCCCTCTGTATCCTATCCCGACCCTCCAGCGTATACCACTCCTCCCAGTTTAGTGTCATCTGCAAACTTGCTGAGGGTGCAGTCCACGCTATCCTCCAGGGAATGTGTGTAAGCAAAGCAACGGGGCTGGGAGATCTGAGGCCCTGGTTTCAGGCCTCGGAGCAGCTGGACTGCAGAGTCCCACATCCCAAGGGAGGGCTCAGTCAAGGGATCAGACAACCAGTTACCCCTCAGTGCTCACCCCAGCACCCACAGCTATTCGAGTCCTGCCCCAACTTCTTCCCCAATCTTCTAATGCCCCTCAGGCCTCATCCCAACACCGCATCCCAGCCCTGGGCTTTCCCAGTGCATCTCAGGGCTGGATTGCATTGTCCCTTTCTGCTCCCAGCCAACTCTTTAGCCCCTAGTGGGTAACACTCTCCCAGGAGTCTGCTCCCTTGAGTTGTGCGTCTCCCCCTTTCTCTCCCGGCTCAGATGCTCCTGAAGACAGCAGATGGCTCTGCACTGAAGAATGAGAAGCTGCAGCTCTTTGTTAGATATGGGAATAAGAATAAGAAGCAGACCTTCCTGACCGACGAGTCTGGCAGAGCCTCCTTTGAGCTGAACACCTCCGGCTGGACAGGGAGCGTCACTCTGAGGGTAAGTGACGGGCCTCCGAGCCCCAGTGGGGCCCCTACACTTCAGCCTCTGTTACTGTGTCTGTGATTGTTGATGTTTATTACGGTGGTGCCTAAGGAGCAGCCAGGATCGGGGCCCCATGGTGCTGGGTGCTGCACACACTCAGCGTAGCAAACGGCCCTGCCCGAAGCGCCTGCAGGCTGAATAGCCAGGACAGACGGTGGGGCAGGGGGGGGAGGCGCAGAACCCACCAGCAGAACCATCAATGGGGTGATGCAAATGGTATCATAGTGCCACCACTTGTCTTCTCATTAATATTTGGGGTGGGGTTTAGTTAGGAAGGTCGCCCCCTTCAGGGAGCTCAGCTCAGGGGCTGCCCCATTGCCGCTGTCGGGCTGCCCCATTCGAACCGCTGGGGTTTTCCATGTCACTCTTACGGACGCAGGGCGAGGGGTCATGGGGGTGAGCTCAGCCGGCAACATCAGCGCCTGCCCTGCCCCGGCTGCATTCCTGTCCTGTGCTGGGTGCTCTGCACCCCGGCGAGCCCCATCGCTCTCTCTATCCCACAGGGGCGCTTCAAGCAGGTGGATGGCAGCTCTTTAAATGGGAGAGTCTCTCCCAGTTACCAGGATGCCCATCGTCACCTGGAGCCCTTCTACTCCAAGAGCCAGAGTTTCCTGAAGATCCGCTCGCTGGGAGGGGTGCTGCCCTGCGACCAGGCCCAGCAGCTCCAGGTGGATTACGTCATTGCTAGGGAGGCCCTGGGGAACGGGTCCAGGAGCCTGGATTTCATCTTCCTGGTGAGCCCGTCCTGAAAGACTACAGTGTGTGTGTGTGTTTGTGCATGCGTGTGTGTCTGTGTGTGAGCAGGAGGTGCGCTATCAGCGCTGTGTCCCCACAGCAGAGCAGTGGGGAATCGAATGTTTCCTTTGAATTACAAGGGCGGGGCTAGATCAGGACGGGGCTTTTCCCCTTTCCCCACTAGGGGCTCTGGTTCCAATCTGGCCCCAAAGCGGGGGCTGGCTGGCCTGGGGGGGTTGGGGAACAGGATACCTGCCTGAATGTGCTTACTTGCACCCCCACCTCTGCTGGCTCAGTCGATGGGGAGGAGAGGCTGCACCCTGCCCTGACTCCAGCCTGCATGGCCACCCCCACGTCGGGGCGTTTGTCAGCCCTCTGTACAGCATCAGCTTGTAACCCAGTGTGCCTGGGGCAGCCCTCACTGGAAATGCCAAGGTCAGGACAGGCTGCAAAAAAAGAGCAGATTCTCCCAAAACCAGAGGCAGATTTACCATGAAACAAACCAAACTGCAGGACAAATCTCATCGGACAACCTGCCCCAAAGTCCCGGCCGGCGGCGCAGCAGGGCTCAGGCAGGCTGCCTGCATTCTGTGGCCGGTGACCCCAGGCTGCTCCCAGAAGTGGCCGGCTGCTGGCACGTCTCTGCGTGCCCCTGGTGGGTGAGAGGTGGCTCCACATGCTGCTCCCGCCCCAAACAGCGCACGGAGACCTGCTGCCCCCTCCCCACAAGGGGCGCGCAGAGACATGCCAGCAGCAGCAGAGCAGGGCTAAGGCGGCTCCCTGACCACGCTGCCTCCCTCCCTCCGCGCCGCTCCCAGAAGCAGCCGGCATGTCCCTGCGGCCCCGGGGGGGGGGAGTGTGTCTCTGTGCTCTGCCCCTGTCCTGAGCGCCTACTCCGCAGCTCCCATTTGCCGGGAACTGCAGCCAATGGAAGCTGTGCAGGTGGCACCTGTGGGCAGCGGTGCAGAGAGACCCCCTGGTCCCTCCCCCCCACCTAGGAGCTGCTGCCAGAGGGGTGTGCTGGTCGCTTTGGGAGCCATGCCACCCATGGTAAGCATCACCCCCCTGACCCTTTCCACACCCGCCCGGAGCCCGAACCTCGCACCCAAACTCCCTCCCAGAGCCCGACCCCTCACGCCCTGCCCCAATCAAAGTACCTCACTTTATTTTCATTTCCTTCCTATTACTTATAATATAGTGTTACCCGGGGTTCTTTCAACCCAAAGCTCTTGGTAACTTTCACTCTGTGCAAGGTGGTGTCAGGAAATAAATCAGGGGAGACACGGCCGTCCGACTGATAGATGGCCGGCACAAACAGGACAGCACAAGAGTGCTTTCACTTAAAGCTAAACTTAGACTCAAGCACTTACACACGTCCGCAACAGGTTTTACAATAGAATACAAAGTATAAGACACTTTTAACTGACTATATTTAAATTCAGGTACATGAAATTCAAAATCACATCCCCTAATTGCTACCATATGACAGAAACCTTTATTCTCATAAGCATTATGATTTATTTTATGCACAAAATTAACAAGAAATGTAGGACACCAACTTCTAAGACATACACAATGATTTCCTAGATACACAAACACAGAATTGTTACTTACAAATGGGTTAATAGCATAATGGCATTTTCCTTCAGTTACTTCCAAACATACATCCTGAGGTTGGAGGGCATTTTGGTTACATTCATCTCCAATTCCAGATTCCTCTAAACAGGCTCCCAATCCTACGTTTTCCATTTTTGATCATCTTTTACCACCCACACTCTGTGGTCGATAGGTTCCATTACGGTCTGATTAATATTGAGGCCTAAAGCCACAATGGGAGAAACCCATTTTATTTCTGCTTGGAACATTAGCAAAACAAAGACCGTGATTTCCTCTGACTCTTGATTATAGGTGAAATTTACCATTTTCCACCAGGCCTGTAACTCTCTTTCAGTTTGGGTGGAATTTTTCCAAATGATGCTTCTAATTTCTACTGGGAGCACCCCATTCATACCATCATGAATCATATCTTTTACTGCATCAATCATCCATACTTGCATTTGCATACACGCCATAGCTAAAGAAGTGTTAGCTTGCAGAGTGCCAACAGCCTGCAAGAGGCGGCGATGGTCTTCCTCTTGCGTTTTTCCCCATTCCTCTAAGATATTTGCTACTTGGGATTGCAGAGAGCTTAATTGCTCGAATGATACCCTAATAGGTGTAGCCAAATCTTTTATGTGAGCTTCCATCGCATTCGTCTTGTTTGCAAGCACCTCCTCATTAATGCTGTTAAAGACTGCGCCTCCCGTTCCAATTGCTCCCCATAAGTCTCTTTTTACCCTTCTATGTTCCCTGCTAGAACTGTCTGGTTTGGGAATATTGTGTGTTTCCATCCAATTTTTCCAACCTTCAAATAAGGGCGGAACAAATTGCTTACACTGGGGCTCTATCACTGAGACCCTTGTCAAACTTAGATCTAGAATGACCTTTTTGAGGGAGTGAGTAGGGTGAGTCACCAATTGCTTTTTGACATTGGTTCGGACAACATAGGGACCGATTAAATTAGTGACTGGTGGGTCCAAAACCCAAACATTGCAACTTTTTACCCCATGAGGCCCTCGCAGAAGCCATTTTCCTGTCATGCTAATCTACATGTTGATAATTTCCTCACTAGCACACCAGATTAACTGATGCTGCTCTCCACATCGCGGAGACAGGAGCTCTTCTTTGAGCGGCCACTAGTTCCTGTTGGAACAGGACAGGAGGATCTTCCATTCCCCTCCTGGTGTGACTATGTACAATTCTGGTTTTTCCAAATTCGTCTGCTTCCCAGTGAGGTAGATGGCATATTCTAATTTAAATCGGATTGGTTTGTTTCCTGTTTTCTCAGGCCAGTCAGTTCACAGCTGCGCACACCTAGGTTGGTTACAATTATGCAGCAGCCTGTTTGTTCCCACCCGACAGCCTAATTTATCTGGGTAGTATTTTCCAATTCCTCCCACTAATAAATCTGCTCTCCCGGGCCCAAAAGGGGAAGGGGATAGTACAGTATGCATGAGGATAGTGATGTTTCCACCAATCATTCTGGGATTCTTTAGCCGCCAAAGTGGACTATCATTTATATCCAAACCATTATACGTGTTGCTTCCCCACTCATTCCGACAGTGATGTTTACTTTGTTCAAACCTTTTAACCTCACGGAAGTGGGGTTATAGCCATCTGTTGGTCCAAGATGGAGGCTTTCCCCTGAGACATATGTGGGACTTGGAGCAATGTTGAGGGTATTGTTTACTTCACACTCCAGTGTCTTGATCACGACAGCTTTTGGTGCATCAATATCAGAAGCGTAGACCTACAAATGCAAGAATCCAGATAGCAACATACACAGCCAGGACCACATTGCAGGCAGGGCTGTTGGACATGTGCAACACAAAACACTCATAGAATATCAGGAAGTCATCTAGTCTAACCCCCTGCTCAAAACAGGACCAATCCCCAGACAGATTTTTCACCCCAGTTCCTTAAACGGCCCCCCCCCTCAAGGATTGAACTCATAACTCTGGGTTTAGCAGACCAATGCTCAAACCACTGAGCTATCCCTCAGGATCTTGGAGCAGTTACATTTGTGGGGGCTGGGCGTTTGAGAATCAACTCAACCCTCTGTTGGTCAGGGGAGCGCCCTTCTTGTCCCAGGGTTACCCCAAGATAGTGTACCTGTTGGGAGAACAGTTGGCCTTCTTTGGGCTTACTTTAAACCCTGTTTCCTGAATCTTTTGCAGCACTCTGTCCAACACCTTTAAATTTTCCTCTTGGGTCTGTGTACAGACCAGGACATCATCCACATAAAAAATCACACTATCCCTTTCAGACATTCCCTCCCACATTTTTGCTACATGGGCATGGCAGATAACAGGTGCATTATTCCATCCCATGGGGACCCGGGCAAAACACAATTGTTTTTCCTGAAAAGTGAAAGCAAATTTATAGTAGCTGTCCCGGTGTAAGAGGATAGCAAAGAAAACATTCGCCAAATCTAAAACTGAAAACCACTGGGCTCCTCCTACAATGGAAGCCATTACTTCCTGATAGTTAGCCACTATGGGGGCCATAGGTGGAGTCACCTGGTTGAGGGGGTGAAAATCCATCACAAGCCTCCAGGTTTTGCCATCACTCTTAAGGACGGGCCACAGGGCAGCATGTTAGTGCTGGGCTGCTCCACTAAAACTCCTTGGCTCAGAAGCCCATCAATTGTTTCCTTCAGGCTGGCTCCCGCCTCCTTTGGATATTGATACTGCTTCTGGGGCGGAGGATCAGAGCCTGTGACTAGGATTTCTGCATCAATTTGACCACATTCTATTTTATTCTTGGCCCACACCTCCCGGTATTTCTCGGCAATTTCCAAAACTGCTGGGGGCCAGGCAGGCCATTCCAGTTCCTCAGATGCCTTAAGGGCTGCTATTCGATAGCTGGCTGAAATCTCCACAGGCTCCCATGGGGTGCACGGAGATATTTCCCACAAAACCCTGTTAGCACGATCAACCAGCACTCTCAATTCCCTCAGAGCATCTATTCCTAGAATGCCTTCTCCCCCCAAAACCATCAAGCCAAATTGCCCTTGGCTTTTCTTTGTCCCAACACTATATGGGATTTTTTACAGAAGGGGACGATGCTTTGTGCCTCATTAAATCCCTGTAACGTTTTGACTCCAGCCAGAGGTCCAAACAGGTCCTTATTTTGGGTACTAATTAGGGAGTAGGTGGCACCTGAGTCCACTAGTAAATTCTGTCCGAACGCCCCTCCTGCAAACTTCACATAAACCATGAACCTCCCCCACTCATCGGTGTTTAAGTGTGCTACAATTGGGGGATCCTGGGGCACCCAGCCTCCCTATAGGGCAGCAGTCGGTGGTGCACTGGCGCTTTTTCCTTGATGCTCAGCCAGTTCATGTTCTGCCAATTTCGCTAGAAGTTCAGCGGTAGGCAGCTGGTCTATCATTTCCTTTTGCTCATATATTAGAAGTCCCTTCCAAATTTCCCCACCCCATGGGTCGGGGGTTCTGCCTCGGCCCTTATGGGGTCTGTCTCCTCTTTCTTTTCCCTGCGTGCTACTTGGAGAGGCTACAGCAGCCACCTTATCAGGTTTCCTTTTAGGAGGGTGCATATCCTTTTGGACCTCATAGGCCTGCTTTGTTCTATCCTCAATAGCTCTTGTTCGAACTGCTGCCAGATTCATACCCACTAAGGCCTTACGAATTAAAAGGAGAAATCCTTGGATTAAAGCTTGTTTGAAAGAGAGGGCTGCAAAGTCTGGGGTAATGACATTTGTCAGCCCAGAATGTCTCCATGCCAATTTCTTTCTGGCTACATAACTTTCTACTCTCTCCCCGGCCTATTGCTTCTCCTGGTGAAATATAACTGTGGGAATTTCTCCCCGGAAGAGGGTGTGTATTACTTCTCTCTGCACATTTATGTGCTTCTCTGTATTATCTGCTCGGGGAGGTGGGGGGACATCTGGATCTCATAAGGGAGCCCTGCAAAATCCTCAGGGGACATACACTCCCTGCATATAGCTGCCATATCAGCCGGAGTGAATCCAGCCGTGTCAGATACTCTTACCATCAGGGGCGGCTCCAGGCACCAGCGTGCCAAGCGCGTGCCTGGGGCGGCAAGCCACGGGGGGGGCGGCCTGACAGTTGCCTTGAGGGCGTCAGTCAGGCTGCCTTCGGTGGCTTGCCTGCAGGAGGTCCGCTGGTCCCGCATCTTTGGCGGTAATTTGGCGGCAGGTACGCTGAAGGTGTGGGACCAGCGGACCTCCTGCAGGCGCGCCGACGAAAGCCACCTGCCTGCCATGCTTGGGGCGGCAAAATACATAGAGCTGCTCCTGCTTACCATCCACCCCAAGGCTGTGCTCCTATTCAGCGGGCCAACTGGTTTCCCTACTATCCTAACCTGGTCAGGGGTAAAGGGTCTAGTCTCTACCCGCTCCTCTGTTCCTCCCTGACCTCCCTGGGGTCCCCTTTTTGTGCCTGAGGTACTGACTATGGGGGCCATTGGAGGAGGTCTTTGGAGCTCTTCCAGTGATTCCTGTAGGGGGCTATATGGAGACTGCCCGATGGGATCCAGGGTGAACTCACAGGGTCTGTCAGCTCATAATTACAATAAGGGGGGGGATACATTGGGATCCTCCTCTGATTCTATGTCTTCCTCCCAGCTACAATTCCCTCTGATCGCTGCCACCATCCCCCTTTGCTCTCCCAACTGAGCCTTAAGGGCACGTAGTCTGCCTGGGTTCTGCTTTGTGAATCCTTCAAAAGGGCTCTGACTGCAGCTTTGCTCTCCGTGGTCTGCTGTTTCAACTCAGACACTTCCCCCGCAACTTACTACTGATCCACTCACTGTCGCATACCTGCTTCTGCATTCCTACAATCCGTGCTACTTGTGTCAGAGACGTAGCTCCGAGAGCATCAGATTCTGCCTTCAAATTAATCACTTCACTTTCCTTTTCTGCTCTGATTCTTTCCAATTCCTGCACCTGGTCTTTTAACTGAACTATCTCCTGATCCAGTGTTGTCGCAACCATCCAGAATCCCTGCAAAGCAGCCTTTTTCTTTGCCCTAACATTTGGACCTCCCCACCTTCCTGCACTAACCCAGATATCCCATTGCTTGTGGAGCTGCAGGAAGGCTCTGGGGCCAGTGAAGGCACTGGGCTTCCAGGGTCCATTACCCCCATACTCTTGTACAAAATCTGTCAAGCTGTTTCCCAACATCATGTTCAACTGTTCATTTTTTCCAGTTGTTTCCCTGTCTCTGGACATAATTTCTCCACTTGAGCAGGCAATCAGCCTGAGTTCTGAGTCCCAGTAACAGCATGTATCGTAGATTAACTCGCGAACTGCGACACGGGAACTTGTAGGGCGCGACACCACCCCACCATCTTTTACTTCCTATTGCAATGGACAAACTACAAACTGTTTGTACCATCTGTCTCCTTCCTCTCTACTACTCCTTGCTGGGGCCTCCAAATTCTGTTACCCGAGGTTCTTTCAACCCACAGCTCTTGGTAACTTTCACTCTGTGCGAGATGGTGTCAGGAAATAAATCAGGGGAGACACGGCCATCCGACCGACAGGTGGCTGGCACAAACAGGACAACACAAAAGTGCTTTCACTTAAAGCTAAACTTTACTTAGTCTCAAGCACTTACACACGTCCGCAACAGGTTAGTAAAATACCCCCAACCCTCGATAATTACCAAAGCTGAGTGTGGTTCTCAAGTGACACAGTGGCAGGCTTCTAGTGGCCAAATCTTCCATCTGCCGGGGGGGACCGCAAGATGTAATCAGAGGGAGAGTCCAAACAAGTCCAAAAGAGTCCAACTACCTCAAACTTTCCCCCTTATTTATACATTAGTAATAGAATGACATGTCCCTTAAAGAAAACTTGTTAAGTAAGCAGTTTCAATGGTCAAGCAAGAGGTTCCTTCTGATTATTGATTAACCAGGTGTGGGTTTTTCCAGAATTTGCAGCCTTGAGGCCCCAATAGACATTCCTGGGGCACATCCTGCTCTTCTAAAATGCATGTATCAACAACTTCAACACAATTCTGATCAGGAAGGATGCGGGTCAAGCTGCCCTTTCTGTGGCACCCAAAACCCTCCCTCCCCTCCTGCCTTGGTCAAGCTGAGAGTGCTGAATAGGCTGCTTTTAGCAATAAGCCATAGTGGTTTCAGGCACTTTACTGGTTTGCCAAAATCTCCCCGTACAGTAGGAGGAGGATGAAGAAAAAAATAATGAAAAATGGGGGGGAGATAAGAGAGAATGTTCTTTTTCTTGGTGGGGTGTTGAGGGGGGCGGTGCTGAAAATGAAGCATAGGGTCCCACTAACTCTAAATCCGCACTGCCCAAAACTGGTGGTTCACACTGAAGTTAGACTCATGCACCAGTTGCAAACTGCTCCTGATTCCCGACGCTGGTTATCTAGAAGCTAAAAAACAAATAACACAGTCCCTTTACTGCATTCCAGTTCTCTGGCTTCCAATCAGCACCTAGGTCCAGGACAGTGCGAAGTCATTTAAAACCTCTGCTCACTATACAAAATGTTCTTCTGATCCCAGAGGGTCAGCCATGTCACCAGGCCAATATTAGTTTGGATCTTACCCAAAATACCATGCTGGTAGCCAGTCCTTTAGTGTCTGAAATGAAAAGTTTACTATAAGAAAGAACAAGAAGAGAGTTGTTAAATGGTAAAACAATCACATACAAACAGAGACGTCTAAGTCCATATATCAGGTTCTGAGCAGTATTGGTGAGTTTGCTGGCTGGAAAGTCCCTCTGGAACAGATCCACAGCTTGGATGGGTCGTTCAGTCCTTTGTTCAGAGCTTTATTTGTAGAAAAGTTACTCCAGAGGTAAGAAGCAGGAATGGAGACAAAATGGAGAAGATGCAGCTGCCCTTTATATTCCTTTTGCCATGTGGCTGGTACTTCCTTTGTCCCAAACACAAGCTGCACAGCACATGGCATGGAAAAGCCTTAGAGTTCTCTGTCCACCTGCCTGCCCCTACATGCCTTACTGACTCCTAAGGTGTATCCCCTAGTTCCTTTCAATGGGCTCACTGTTGGGCTATGACCCGCGATGGGCCATCGAAAAGGCTCGGCAGTGCTGATGCCAATCTGTCTGGGGGTGTCACCCAGAACCACAGACTGAGTTTTGAAATACAGATGTACCACACAGACCTAGAACACAATACAAAGGTGATACAAACATATAAACAAGATCCTCATACTTGGCAAATCACACGACTTTCACAGACACCTTCCATGGCATATCTGGTCAGATTCCCTGCGATTTTCTAATGTTGGTATCAACAATACCATAAAGTGTCTCCCAGACTCCACACAGCGTCACACAGCTCAGTGACCCCCGTCTCCTCCTCCCCAGGTCGTGGCCAAGGGAGCCATCGCCAGGATCCTCCACAAGGGGCTGGACCTCAGGGAGGGGGCTGGTAAGTGGCGGGGGAGGGGTCTGTGCAGATAGGGGGCGCCCAGGGGGCAACTGGGGTTTGAGTCTCAAAGCAGGGGCCGGGCTGGGGGAGGGGGCTCTGCTGGCTGGGCCTGACTTCCCCTGGGTGTTTCCCACCATCCCTAGGACTGAAGGGCTCCTTCTCTGTCGAGCTGCCCGTCGGCGCTGACCTGGTGCCCGCTGCCACGGTGCTGGGTTACACAGTGCTGCCCGATGGCGAGATGGCTGCCGACAGCGCCTGGCTGCACGTGGCCAAGTGCCTCCCGAACAAGGTGAGCCCAGGGCTCAGGGTGGAGGAGACTTTGGGGTGGGGGAATCGCTCGCTGCCCCATAACAGGAGCCCTGAGCAGGGGCATCGCTGGGTGCCCTCGGCCCCTCCCTTCCCCGGCCTTACAGCAGCGCCAGGGTCGTTGCGTTAGTGCCAGCTCTGGTGAATTGATCACTAGCCATTTCGCCCCCACCTGTAGGCGTTCCCGCGGTGACAGGAAGAACTCCGGCCCCCGCACAATGGAGGAGCAGCTGCCTGCCCTCCCCGCCCTCCCATTCCGCTGTCCCTGGCCCCAGAAAGTACCTGCTCCCCCAAACCCTTCCTGCCTCCCCCAACCCCACGCTGCTTCCCCCGTGGACTCAGCCTCTCACTCCAGGCCCAGCAGGTACCTGCTTCCTGCCTGCCCCACCCCTCGCCTCCCTGTACCCAGCTCCCCAGAGCTCCTGCTTCTGTCCCTCCCATCCCACTGGCCCCTCCCCGGCCCACTCTGGGCTCCCTGGCAGGTACCTGCTGCCCTGAGCCCTCCCCACTTCCCAGTCTCTGCAGCCATTTGCTCCCCCACCCCCCAGAACTTCTGCCACCTCAGCCCTACCCACTGCCCATCCTCCAACCTGTGCCTGCCCCTGCTCACCCTGGGAGATTCCTGGGGCAGGGGGCAGGATATGATGGTCTGAGCTCCCTTCCTCTCTGGAGGCTCGCGGGGGGTGGGGAGGAGGACAGCTGGCCATATTTCTGTAGAGGGCTTCTAAGGGGCCGCTTCCCCTCCAGTCGACTGGGGCACAAGTGTCATGAGGCGAGGGGCCCCTCTCCTCCTCTGGCCGGCAGCCGATTCCCACTCTTAGCCAGATGAGCAGTAGAAACACCGCCCCATGAAGGCTGGGGCTCTCCTCTCTGGGCAGCCGGCAGGGGGACATCCCTGTCATTGAGAAAAAGCTTTTGCCAGGGACCAGCCATCAGCCCCCTCCCCACTGCACATAGGGGTCAGTTGGGGGGAAGGCCCTTCCCCTCTGGTACTAGGGAGGTAAAGATACAGAATTCTTCCTCTACCTCTCCCCTCCATCTTGTGGGGGCCTGGCTGAGTCCTTCTGCCCCCTCCCACTTCACCCCACTGCCCTGGGGGTAAGTGTGACCCTTCTGCTCCCCAAACCCCAGCCCGGGGAGGCAGTGGACTGTTACCTGGAGGCATTTCAATGCCCCCCTCGGCAATGGTGGCTGCCCTCCCGGCAACTGGCATCTGCTTGGTATTGGCCTCATCGCTCAGCCTTCAGCCGACCCCTCCAGGCAGTGCTGTGCATGTCCAGACACACTGGGGTGGGTGGGGGCAGGAAGTGGAGAAGCCAGAGGACAGACTGCAGCCCAGGTCTTCATTCTTGTCAAGAATCTCAGGACTTTTAGGGGGTCTGACTCATGAGTTTTATCTGGTGGGGCTGGTGATCCTGTCGTATCCCTACCTCGCTGCACCGCCTATTCCCCCACCCCCGGGTGTCTATGAATAACTGCAGCTCCCTGAGCCGTCCCACGGAGGCGCTGAATGAGCCTGGGCTCTTATAATGAGGCAGTCTCTGGCGGGACACAACTGAGAGTATCAATTCAGGACAAATTGCTTAGAGCAGGGCAGTTACAGCCCCAGGCTGGTGGTTCTCCACCTCTAAGGCACCAAACCAGCCAAACAGAGAGGACTTTGGTCTCACCCCACTGGCTAACCACAAGTCACACAAGCAATTCCCTTAGACACTCCAGTTTACCTGTATCACCACCAGTGCCACTCATTATGCGGACGAATGGTTATGAAAACCAATACCCCAGTAAAAGAAAAACGGTTCCCCCAAGCCCAAAGGACCAAGCCCCAGACCCAGGTCAATATACAAGTCAGATCTTACCCACAAATCACGCTGTTTCCAATTCTTTAGAATCTAAAATCTAAAGGTTTATTCTTAAAAAGAAAGAAATATAGCTGAGAGCTAAAATTGGTTGAAGGAATCAATTACATACAGTAATGGCAAAGTTCTTGGTTCAGGCTTGTAGCAGTGATGGAATAAACTGCAGGTTCAACTTGAGTCTCTGGAACATCCACAGCTGGGATGGGTCATTCAGTCCCTTGTTCAGAGCTTCACTTTGTAGCAAAGTTCCTCCGGAAGTAAGAAGCAGGATTGAAGAGAAAATGGAGGGGTTTTCAGGGCCTTTTGTATTCTTTCTCTTGTGGGCGGAAACCCTTTGGTTCTCCATTCAAGACAGCAGCTTCAAGATGGAGTTAGGAGTCACATGGGCAAGTCACATGTCCATGCATGACTCAGTTCTTTACAGGCCGAAGCCATTGTTTACATGTTAGTTTGAACGTTCCCAGGAAAGCTCAGATGTGGACTAGCGTCTCCCAAAGTTCACTGTCAGGTAAGTGTGTCTTGATTGGGCACTTACTGAGAATAGTCCTTTCTGAAGAAGCTGACCAAATGCTTCACTGAGGCTATTTACAATCAAAACACATTGAGATACAAGTACATGGCCAATACTCATAACTTTGAGTACAAAAATGATACACCCATACAGACAGCATCATCAGAACCAGCAAATTGTAACCTTTCCATAGACACCTTACTGGTCCTCCTTTGTACAAGATTTGGTGCAACTATAGGACCTTGGTTGCAACAATGATCTATACGGTCACAGTTCATGTCAATAATATCACAGCTGCCTCAACCCCCCTACCCCCAGCACAAACTCCCAAAGCCCTAGCCCTTCAGCCAGCGGGGCCTGGGGACAGAGTGACACTTGGTGCCTGCCCCCCTCGCCCAGGCCTGTCTCCTCCTGCCCCTGGGGGTCTCTCTGCCCCTCCCCTGTGACGCGCTGTGCCTCGCCAGGTGAAGCTGGCCTTCTCGCAGGACCGGGCCCTGCCGGGCTCAGAGCTCCAGCTGCGGGTGCAGGCTGCCCCCGGGTCCCTGTGCGCCATCCGCGCCGTGGATCAGAGCGTGCTGCTCATGAAGCCCGAGGCCGAGCTCAGCGTCGACACGGTGAGTCCAGAGCAGCTCAGCTGCTCGCCCGGCCCCTCCCGTGACGAGTCCTCCCCCCTCGCAGGGAGGAGCAATGCACGGCGGCTGGGGGACACCCCTCGAGGCCACCTCTCCCGGTTTGAGGGCTGCTCCCATGGCACTTGACACCCCCTAACTCTGGGGGGTCCCCGCTTGCCTTGCCAGTTCTCCCATCAGCCCTTGCAGTGCCCCCCTCCCAGCACCCCTCACCCCGGCTCCGGCTGGGAACATGGAGCTCGGAACAGAGATAATGGCCGGGGTAACCGGAGTTCGCTCTCCAGGGCAGAGCTGGTCCCCAGGGGAAGGGGCAGGAGGATTTCCTGCCCCCATGCACAGCAGGTTCTCTCAGGGTGTTGGGAGCCGTGAGTCCCTATCCTAGGGCTGGGGGGCGGGGTTGCAAGGACAGGTGGGGGATGGGGATAGGTGCTGGGCAGGGTGGGGAGGGGGGTCCAGGCTAGAGATGAGGCTGGGGCGAGAGTGGAGGTTTGTGGGGTGATTTACAAATTTACAATTTACAAATTTACAAAATTTATGTGTTAGTGAGAGGAGGGGCAGGAGCTGGCTCTGGGGTAGCTCGTGTCCTGGTTTCATAGCTCATGGTCTGTGTTTGTCTTTAGGTCTATAACTTGCTCCTCAATTTTTTCCGAGAAGACTATTTCGGCCCAGTGCCAGTACTTCAGCCATGTTCTCATCCGTCCCTGGCTCTAGATTTAGACTTCCGCGCCTTAAGTGTCACGTATATTGAGCTACCGCAGAGGCAGAGTAGAGGGACTAGCAGCTGGACTCCCCCTCGGCATGACGCCTACAGCCTGTTTAAGGTAGGGTTGGACCTGGCCAGGCCTCACACTCCTCTGTAGCCTGAAAGGACTAAACTGGCTCCGATGTGCCCAGAGCTGCTGGCATCCAGGGGTGAATCCCACCAAATGGTCCGGCCTGTTCTAATGAATCCCCAGGGATGCTCCTAGCAAACTCAGGCCTGGGATACACCTCCTCAGCCACCTTCAGACATGGCCCAGGCCCTGGGACAGATCCCCGGGGTATCCAGGGAGCAGGAACACCCCATCCCGCCCCACTCCTGGGCACAGGGATATTACATGTGGGGCTGGCAGCGCCACCTCCAGTTACAGTTCTCTGGCACTTCCCTTTGTAAGTTTTCAGTTCTTGTAACTTTGTCAGACTGAAACGGTTGGGGCCGAAATTTTCCCAGCCTGGGGTCAGCCTCAGGTTGAACTTTCTGAGGCATTTCAGCTAACACAGCTCAGCAGTTGCTCAGAAGGGGAGGTGGGGAAAATACTCAGTTTTCCCATGATAAAATGAAGCTGTTTAATTGAGAAGTTCCCTGCCTGGGAGCAGAGACTTGACCCTTGGTCTGGAGGTCGCCCTGGGGTCAGGGAGGTGCCCTTTGCCTTCCCCATGACATGCCGCCCCCATTTGGCTGAATGGGAAGCCCCTGGGAATGGCAGGACCCACATGCCCATCAGAGGCTTGGAGTTTGGCAGCATTATTCTGCGAGGAATCCCTCTGCACCGCGCCTGTTCCATCCCCTCCTACATGCCGACCGGCCTGCGCGCGCCTTCGCCACAGAGCGACTGAGCCTGCTCCAGCCCGGGGCCACAGGGGCAGAGCAGGATTTTCCTGAAATGGCTCCTCCGACCAGCAGGACCTGCGGTGGCACCGGGTGTGGGAACGGAGCTCCCGGAGATGGTGCCTCTGGTACTCCCAGTGCTCCCCTGCCCATCCCAGGCAGCCTGGAGGAGGAGGGCTGAGTGAAATGTGCAGGGGACGGGAAGGGGATGGGTGCAGAGGAGGCAAGGTAGAGGGGATGGGTGAGGAGGAGGTGGGGTGATGGCATCTTGCCCCGCCAGAGGGAGGGATGGACGACGTCCTCCCAAAGCTCTCAGGGGCTGGGAGTCAAGAAACCAGGGCTTTGTCCCAGCTCGGGGCTGCTCTGAGTGATGGCAGCCTCCCCAGGGCCTAGGAGCCCAGTCAGACGCCCTAGTGGAATGGGCCGGGACCTGCCCTCCCCCTGCCAGCACCCGTACAGTGAGCGTGCTGCCCATGGCACCCAGCACCGCGTGCACCGCGGCATCTAGGGGCTGCCCAGTGGCCAAGTCACTCCCCAGAACTGTTCCCCAGGCGGGCGGGGGCGTTGGGCTCTGGGCACCACGGGACTAGTGCAGGGTGGGGCTAGTGGGCCACATGCGGGGTCATTTGAGCGGGGGTGGGGGGCTCAAGATACAGCCCCCCTCATAAAATGGGTTTACATGACCGCTCGATTCTCATCATGCTGTTTGCCCGCACTTGGGGCTCCAACTCTGGCTCTTATTTTTCCGAACTGATCTCAGCTGCTTGGGATTTACCCCAGCTAGTGCCCACCCCCTCTGGGGAGCAATATTCCCAACGTTACTGAGGGGAATGTCCAGAACCAGAGGGGGAGGTGACCTGAACAAAGGCCCCAGAGAGTGGGAGGCGCATGTGCAGCCAGGCTGGGGCTCTGTGGAGCCAGCAGGTTTGCAGGCAGTCTGGTGTCACAGTGACCGAGGGGCGCCAGGGGACGTGCTGTGGCCCGTGGATCGCCGGGGTGCCCACGGGCTGTGAGTTCAGGCCCCACCTGGGGAAGGTTTCAGTGGCTGCGAGTTGCACCCGTTGCCTCCGCTCTGCAGCGGCTCCGTTTGGCAGTTTTGTCCGAGACCGAAATCTGGGGTTGAGGGCGACGTTTTCAAGGGCTGTAAGAGCCACGTGCAGATGCTGCCGTTCCTGCAGAGGGTTGCCAAGGGAATGAGCATCGAGCAGAGGGAAGGGCAAAGCCTCCAGCACCCGGTTAGGAGAATCCAAGCAGGCTCCTGAGGGCTGGACTGCGGCAGACTGGACCCTTCGAGGTTCACGTGCTCCTCTCCTGCCCATCGCACCCAGCTGCACCCAGCACAGTGAGCACAGCCTCGCAGCAATTCCCATCGTGTCCCACAGCCAAGGGCCCCTTCTCAGTCATTCATCACATCCACTGCCCATGGCGCCACCTCTGGCACCTGCCCTGTGGGCAGTGCCAGCTCCTGGGCAGAGCTGAGGCTGGGCTGGGGTGGCACCTCCCTTAACTCTTCATTGCCTGGTGTTCAGCGGGTCAGGGCGAGGTGCTCTCCCCAGTCCAGAAGGGCAGGGGCACCGCTGGGCAACCTTCAGGCTGCGTCCGGGACGTTTGGGGGCGTTTAACAGACAGTCACACACGCCCCTGCCCTGAGAGCTCCCAGGCTGAGCAGGCAAAGGGAGGGAGAGGGCGAGAGAGGAGACGGGACCTGCCAACATCACCCAGCAGGTGGGCGGTGAAGGGAGGAACAGGGAGTGTCCTGACTCCCAGCCCTATGTCCCAGCCTCCGGCCCGCGCTGAATGTCATGGGGCACAGCGAGGAGTCCTGGGATCCAGCTGCCGGAACCATCAGCGGGAGAACAGCCCGACAGTGCGATGTGTGAGGCTGGAATCGTCTCATGGAGGAGGCCCCCTCGCTTGGCACTTTTAGTGCTAAAGCCAAACCCCTGGGAAGAAGTGCTGGAAGGATCAGCCCTGCCCTGGCCCCAGGAGACGAGGGGGCGGAGAGATGAGCCGATGGGTCTTTCCCCTCCCTGCGCTCTGTGGCCCTGTGCCTCGGTTTCCCCATATGTAAAATACTGATTCCGCCCCTTTGCAAAGCCAGTTGCAGGTGCTGGGCAGCGGCCAGGTCTCTGTGAATTCTGCTCATGTGTTGCTCTGTTGCTGTGTGACCTTGGGCAGTAACAACAGGCACCACGCTGCCTCTGGTGCTTTCGCTGCTCCTGATGCTTTTACCTCCATCTTCCTTCTCTCTCAGGATGCGGCTTTGAAAATTCTCACCAACACCAACACCAACACCAGGCAGCCCTGTGAAAATGGAGTCTTCATAGACCAGCATAGTGACATTGACATTTCATTCTCCATAGCAGGTCAGTGGAGCCAGGAGCTTCCATCCCCATTGATCAGCAATTCCAAATGTCCTCTCTGCCCTCTAGTATCAGGGGATAGCCGTGTTAGCCTGTAGCCACAAAAACGACAAGGATTCTGGTGGCACCTTAAAGGCTACGAGATTTAGCATCTGAAGAAGTGGGGTTTTTACCCAGGAAAGCTTATGCCCAAATAAATCTGTTAGTCTTTAAGGTTCCACTGGACTCCTTGTTGTTTCTCTGCCCTCTGAGGGGAAACACGTGGGCTCGTGGATCAGGCCTGGGACCTGGGTTCTGATCCTGGTTCTGACACTGTCCTTGTCTATTCCATTGTTCTCAATGAGGTGGAGGGTGGGGGTTTCTCCATTGTTCTCAAAGATGCCGAGGGTGGGAGTTTGTCCATTGTTCTCAAAGGGGCAGGAGTGGGAGGGTTTCTCCAGTGTATTCAGTGGGGGCTGGGTACACATGATCATCTGACCCTTCCAATTCAACTCTGCTCCTCCTCCTTCAGCTGGAATTCTTTGCCAGAGGATGTTGTGAAGGCCAAGGCTATAAGAGGGTTCAAAAAGAACTAGATTAATTCATGAAGCACAGGTCCATCAATGGCTATTAGCCAGGATGGGCAGGGATGGTGTCCCTACCCTCTGTTTGCCAGAAGCTGGGAATGGGCGACAGGGGATGGATCACTTGATGATTCCATGTTCTGTTCATTCCCTCTGGGGCACCTGGTATAGGCCACGGTTTGGTCTGACCCAGTCTGGCCATTCTCATGTTCACACAGAGACCGATGGCTTTTCCAGCCCCAGCCCTACACACTCCCCTGGGATCTGAGAGTCAAGCTGGGTGTTATGGAGGTGATCACATGGGGTCTTGCAATGCCCATTCATGCTCGGTGGTTGTGGTAGAAACGCACTGAGCCTCTCTAGGCCTCCATCTCCCAGCTGCTCAGTGGGGCTAATGATTTGACCTGCCTGGCTAGCGGTTCTTTGTACAGGGCTCTGGGAGTGCAACGTACCCTTAACGCTGCTCGGGGCAGAGCTGGGACTGAGCTCAGGACTCCCTGGATCCTGCCCATGTGCTGAGTCCACCAGCGTGTGCTGAACGTAGGACACCCCCAGCCCGACCCCCTCCAGCCCCAGCCCTGCCAGCAGGGGTCAGTTCTCAGAGCTCCTGGGGGGCCACGTGCAGTCCCCGAAATGTCCCCAAACATTGAGACTTTGCAGGTGCAAACACACGTGAATCGTTGTCTGGATTTGCCCCCAAACCAGGGTGGGGCTCCCTCAACCCTCCTTTGTATCTTTTCTAGACATGATCCCTGGGGCAGAAATGGTGAATATTGCAGAAGGGACCCCAGTGATCAATGGCCTGCTAGCGCCAGGTCCCAGCGCCCAGGACGAGGCAGTGCCACGTGCGTACTTCCCAGAGACGTGGCTGTGGGACCTGGAGCTGTCACAGACCGTCCCTGCGGAGCGGCCTCCAGGCCAGACCCTGGAAAGCAGAAGCTCCCAGAAGTGGTGCACTGGCTGGGGGAGGGCTGGCTGCTCGCATGGGGCTGGTTCCTGTGCCCTGTTGCCAGCGGAGAGGAACCCAGCACAGCAAAGGGGAATTGAAGGTGGCACATGGGGTACAAGTGGGAGGGGCAGGGGATCCCGAGCAGTGGGAATTGAGGCTGGGCCCAGGAATAGCCCTGTCAAGGCTGCTTCCCCAGTCTGAACTTTAGGGTACAAATGTGGGGGCCTGCATGAAAACTTCTAAGCTTAACTACCAGCTTAGATCTGGTCTGCTGCCACCATCCCAATGTGCTAATTCCCTTCCCTGGGTAGCCTTGAGAGACTCTTCACCAATTCCCTGGTGAATACAGATCCAACCCCCTTGGATCTTAAAACAAGGAGAAATTAACCATCCCCCCTCCTTTCTCCCACCAACTCCTGGTGGATTAAGATCCAACCCCCTTGGATCTAAAACAAGGAAAATCAATCAGGTTCTTAAAAAGAAGGCTTTTAATTAAAGAAAAAGGTAAAAATCATCTCTGTAAAATCAGGATGGAAAATAACTTTACAGGGTAATCAAATTTAAAGAGCCCAGAGGACCTCTAGCCTTAGGTTCAAAGTTACAGCAAACAGAGGTAAACACCCTAGTAAAAGGTACATTTACAAGTTGAGAAAACAAAGATAAAACTAACACGCCTTGCGTGGCTGTTTACTTACAAGTTTGAAATATGAGAGACTTGTTCAGAAAGATTTGGAGAACCTGGATTGATGTCTGGTCCCTCTCAGTCCCAAGAGCGAACAACCTCCCAAACAAAGAGCACAAAACAAAAGCCTTCCCCCCACCCACCAAGATTTGAAAGTATCTTGTCCTCTCTCTTGTATTTGGGCTCTCTTGTCCCCTTATTGGTCCTTTGGGTCAGGTGTCAGCCAGGTTACCTGAGCTTCTTAACCCTTTACAGGGAAAAGGATTTTGGAGTCTCTGGCCAGGAGGGATTTTATAGTATTGTACACAGAAGGGCTGTTACCCTTCCCTTTATAGTTATGACAAGCCCCCTGACAGGGAGACATGTCTGGCTGCGGAAGGGGGGGATCCCATCCCGTGGGACATTGAGCCCAGCCCGGAGAGTCCCGGGGCAAGGAAGGGTCCTGCGCTAGCTGGCGTGGGGCGGAGGAGGGGACGAGAGGGGGGCACTGACAGCTCTTCCCCTCTCTGCTGTCTGAGATTGGCCTGTTTCTGTGCCACCAGCCCAGGGCCCCAACCCAGCGGAGGGTCGGGCAGGGACGTCTCCGGTGGCCGTGCTCGTGGGCACTTCCCACGGGGCGGCCGCGTGTCTGATGCTCTGTTTGTGTCCGTTCCGGCCCAGCGAAGGGGGCTCCAAGGACGTCCCAGTCTCGGTGCCCGACACCATCACGGAGTGGAAAGCTGGGATGTTCTGCACGGCGGAGGTGGGCTTTGGGCTCTCGCCCACCGCAACCTTCACGGCCTTCAAACCCTTCTTTGTGGAGGTGGCCTTGCCGTACTCTGTGATTCAGAGAGAGGCCTTCGCCCTAAAGGCCACCGTCTTCAACTACCTGCGGCAGTGCATCAAGGTGAGCGCCGCCCGGGGCTGAGCTGCTGGGGCCAATGACCTGGGGCTGGGGAGCTGGGCAGCAGCGCAGGCCGGCGAGTGGCACCGGCAGTCACTGGCTGTGACCCTGTGACCACTGGGGTCAGCACATCGCAGTGAGGGGGCCTGAGCCCCAGAGGGGTCACGTCTCGGCTGGAGCTGCGCGTGTGAGCGCGTCCCCCACAGCCCTAAGGGGGATCTCGTGTTGGGCCCCACAGGTGCGAGTGACGCTGGCCGAGTCTGCGCAGTTCCAGGTGCAGGTGGGCGAGGACGGCGCCTACACCAGCTGCCTCTGTGCAGATGAAGAGAAAACCTTCCAGTGGGAGGTGATGGCGAGCAGCCTGGGTGCTGGGGGCTCTGTGCCGATGGGGAGGGACAGGGAAGGGGTGGGGGGCTCTACACAGTGCGGGGGGCAGTGAAGGGGTGCTGGAGCCTTCACACTAGGGAGGCAGGTAGGGGTCTTTGGAGGCTCTGCGTGGGGGACAGACGGGTAAGGGGCATTGGAGGCTCTGTGCTGGGAGTGAGGAGGAGGGCGCAGAACAGGGTCACTCAGGGCTTGGTGCCGAGGGGAAGGGGAAGGGACGGGAAGAGCTGCAAGGAGGGGGGGCGAGGACACCCCAGCAGAAAAACCCTTCACGTTAACCCTTGTGCCAGGTGGAGCTGGCAGCAACAAGGGTCGGGTTCAATATCTGGGACTTCCCCTTAACAGCGCAGCACAGAGCCTGCTTGGCCCCACTCACTGGCAACGCCTCCACTACTGCTGTCTGCAGCTGGCTCCCAGCTGCCGCTGTCTCTCTGCCGCTGAGCCACTGCGCCATAGCAGGGCACAATCCAGACTAATGAGCAGCTCTGTCACCCCTGACCTGCGCCCTTGGGTGCCCTCAGTAGCTCCCACCTGGGCTGCTCACACCCAGCCCCAGCATGGAAGCCGCACCCTGAGCGTGTGTGTGTGACTGCAGCCTGCCTGTCACTCCCAGGTTACACTCTGGCTCTCGCCAGCCTGGGTTATACTGCAGGGCGACCCCAACGCCCCCAGTCCCAGATTTTCCTCCAGAAAGGTCTGTCCTGTCTGCCCAGCCCTCTCCTGGCCATACAAGTTACATTGCGGCCGATATTCCTTTACGAGAATAACATGCACTCGTCCTGTCACCCCACATGGAGTTACCCAGACACTTGGATTTAAACACACTGGATTAGATAAAACAATCAAACATGTTCATGAACCACAAAGAGAGAGATTTTAAGTGAGTGCAAGGAATGGGGCATAACACTCAGAAATGGTTACAAGACAAATAAAGAGAAGACGTTTACTATTACCTGCATTAACAAACTACATCCGATTCAAACACAGTTTGCCCCTGCTTGCTTCCAGCAGTCTCACTGACCGAGCCCTGTAGGTCAGGACCCCTCTGCCATCCCGCTGGCCGCTGCTGCTTCCTGCTGCGATGTCATGTTCTGAGGTCCACCCCCGCCCCTCCGAACACAGCTGTCAGTGATTTCAGCAGGGAGGGGGCAGGTTCTGGGTGGCCATTCGCTGTTCCCACACAAGGGCTAAGGCAGAAAAACCCATTACACTCCACTCATCACTTCCCTCCGTCCTTCCCTTCCCCCCTTTCCTTCTCTCTCTTTTCTCCCCCATTCTCTTGCTCTCCATTTCCTCTGCTTTTCTCTCCCTTCTTCACCACCCTCCCCCTCCCACTATTCTCCCGTCCTCGGACACGGGCTCCTCTCTGCCTCACGCAGGGCCGTTGGTCTGTCTAACGGGGGTGTCTCCCACCTTGCTCGGCAGGGGAAGTGAACTTCACCGTCAGCGCCGAGGCTCTGCACACCGAGGAGCTGTGCGGCACAGAGGTGGCCGTGGTGCCGGCCCAGGGGCGAGTGGACACCGTGATAAAGCCCCTGCTGGTCCAGGTCAGTGTCTGGTCGGGGCCTCTGGGCAGAGCGGAGGGAGATCCGGGGCCTGGGTCTCACCCCCTGGTTGCCGTGGGCTGAGTCTGCACTTGTGATTGTTCTTTGTCCTGCCACAGAAAATAATTGTCCCAGCACCGCGCCGTCCGCGTCCCGGACCCCGACCTGCACTGCCCCTTCACGCGGCCCCATCCCAGCGAGATCAGGGAGCTGGCGGGAGAGTCCTGGGGCAGACAGAGATGGGGGTCAGCCCCAAGGGGGGTGGCTGAGTGTGACACACGGGAGGGCTCGAGGGGGCGGAGGGAACTAGCAGAGGGAAGCTCCGTGCTGAAGAGGAGGAAGCCGTGAGATCTGCTGGGCTGGGAACAGTCTCCCTGGGGAAGGGACGGGAGCCCCATCGCTGGGGCGCTGAGAGCTGGATGTGCCCGAGCCCCACAGCACGGGCTGTAGGGGATGATCCTGCCCTGGCTAGGGGCACTGGCTGACCCAGCAGGCCCTGTCAGGCTGTGACGTGCGCGGTCCCTTCTCCTGACCTTCTGTCTGATGCTCCTTCCCCACAGTCGGGGGGGATCCCGGAGGAGAAGGCGCACAGCTCCCTGCTCTGCCAGGAAGGTAGGATCCCAGCGCCTGTGCGGGGCTCAGTGGGTGTCACTAACGCAGGGAGTCTCTTGGCTGCGGCACGTCAGTGATGGCTGAGCCACTGGATGGCCCAGCTAGGGTCCCAGGAGCCGCCAGGCCGGACCGGACCAGGGGGCATCCAGGCCAATGTCCTGCCTGGGACAGGGTCCAGGCCCAGCTGCCCGGGGAAGATGCACCCCCTAGTGGGCAGTTATGGAACCGTCTGCCATGGACCGAAGGCTCGAGCATGTCCGGCTCCTGCTCCCGAGTTTCACTGGGCCCCTCTTGCACCAGCTCCTCTCCCCTGCAGCCTGGTCCCTGTGTGTACGATGCTCCCTGCAGAGCTCGTCACACCGGCTCTCTGGGGCCAGGAGAGGGACCGACTCCCACAGGCAGGACCCTCTGCTGAGAACCCCCAACCCTCGCCCTCAAGGGCACGTGTGTGCCATGGTGGGGGGAGGTTGGGGTTGAGAGAGGGGCTGTGACTGGGCGAGAGCCCCAAATGGTGAGGAATGGAGGGATCTGATTTGCTGGAGGCAGGGGCAGGTTCCCAACAGGCCTTTAACGGTGTGTCTTTGCCTTCGTGTTACACAGCATCCGAAGAAATCTCCTTGCAGCTGCCAGTGAATGTCCTGGCAGGGTCCGAGCGGGCCCACATAACTGTCCTGGGTAAGGAATTCCTCTGCCCCCACCCTGCTAGGTCACAGTGCCCTTCGCCAGCCAGCCCGTCTGTGGCCCAGCGCTCTGATCAGAGAGGCCAGTGCATCATGGATGGAAAAGACCAATGAGGGCAGGACTGGTCCCTGCAGTCTGTGCTCCAGGGTCTCATCCCCAGCGAGGGGCAATAGACTCACGCGGTGATGCCATGAAGCTTTTTGAGGGCATTGGCGTCTTGGCCATTCATCACCACGTATCCGCGTAAACCCACCAGGACTGAATTGACCTGGGGGCTCTGGGTCCCACATGCCAGGGCTCCACAGACGTGGTGTTAGGGACGGGGCAGCTGTTGTGCAGCCTGGTAATTCTCTGCTCCCCGACTCACTTGGTGCCAGGAGACATAATGGCCACGGCTCTGCAGAACATAGACCGCTTGCTGGGCATGTCCGATGATAATGGAGAGGAGAACATGGTCCGGTTTGCTCACAACATCTACACCCAGCAGTACCTGGAAAAGAGCGGGCAGCTGAGCACGGAGATCAGAGACAAGGCCCAGGGATTCCTCCAGAGCGGTGAGTGTCCTCCCACCCCTGCGCCCCCAGGGCATGGTGGGGCCATGCGAGGGCCCTGTCCAGGCCACCTCTGGGGCCCGGGCTCCAATCCAGACCCAGATCAGGGCCCTGGCTGGCTCTGGGGGTCAGGGAATGAGATCCTTGGCCTTTCCTCGCTGGGGCACCAGTTCTGAGTTCCTATTTGACTCAGTGTTCAGGGAATGGGAGAGGAGCCCTTTCCCTTCTAGGGGGCGCTGGTTGGGATCCAGCCCCAAGTCAGGGCACTGCAGGTTTTGGGGGATCAGGGCCCTATTCAGCCTTAACTCCATCCCCCTATTGAAACCGACCCCTGGAATCTCTGAGTCTCAGCGTCGTGGGGGAGGGGAGGGCTAGCGGGCCCCATGCTGGGAGTGGATTCTAGCCCCTGGGGGTGAGCGGATCCAGGACTCGCTGTCTCTCTCCCGTCCCCGCAGGCTACCAGCGCGAGCTGCTCTACAAACACAATGATGGCTCTTACAGCAACTTTGGGGAGAGCGATGCCAAGGGCAACACCTGGTGAGGGGCCGCACGGCACGGGCGAGTCAGGGCTCTGGGTGGGCAGGGCCTACCGGGCTGCAGCCTGACCCCCAGCCCCACTGCTATTCCAGAACGTCTCTGCCTCTCGTACTCACTCCAAACCCCCACCCTGGTCCCGTTCTGGGCTCCCCTGACAGCTCTGCTCACCCCCCACAATGCTGACCCCCAGCCCCGTCCCCCACGCACCTCCCTCCTGGCCCGCAGCATCTCCTGCAGAGTGTCCCTCTCATGGGGTCTCTCCCTGCCCAGGCTGACGGCCTTCGTTCTCAAGTCCTTTGGCCAAGCCAGACCCTACATCTCCATCGACGAGAAGCACCTAGAGGACGCCCTAGGGTGGCTGCAGCGCCACCAGCAGAAGACCGGCTGCTTCCGCAGTGTGGATAATCTGTGGAACAACGCTCTGCAGGTGGGAGGCTGGGGGGATGGGCTGATGGGATCGGAGAGGAGGGGACAAGCTGGGGAAGGGGGTGGGGGCCCCTCATGGCAGCTGGTTGTTGTCACCCATGTCGGTTTGGGGGATTTCCCTGGGTTTTTAGCAATGGCTGGATGGCTGGAACGTCCGGGTCAGCGGGTTATTGCACCGAACGAGGGAGCAGCCCTGGCCCAGCCCCCGCTGTCTCCTGCACAGCCCGGTCTCCCCGCGGGCACTGAGCAGACCCCGCACCCATTGCCTGGCACGGAGAGCCTGAGGGGCAGGGCCCAGCCCAGCCCTGAAGTCATGTGACTTCCACAACTCCCCATGCGGCTCAGTCAGAAGGGCGGTCGTGGTGCATCATGGGAGATGTAGTCCGAAGAAGCCAAGTCCATGGGGAACAGGGACATGAGGCCAGTGCAGCTGAATGTTGAATGGGTTCGCAGTGGAAGGTTTAGATTCAGGTCACCAACTCGACAGGCTGTGATTTGGGCCCCGCCGCCCCACAGCAGAATGTTGCGTTTCCATTTTCCCAACGGAAATCGAAATGTTTCAGCAAAAGTAACGTTTTCCCTCCAAGTTTTGGTTTTGTGGAAATTGCGTCGCCTGTCGAGAAATAATTTCAGGAGGAAATTCCCATCCAGCTCGAGTCACAGCCCAATTCCTGCCACTGCCCCGAGTCTGCAGGGAGCCGGGAATCTACAAAAGGGGGGTGACGATGCTGCCCGTGGGAGCCAGCTGAGATCACTCAATCAGGGTGAACTGCAGACAGAACGGGGCAGACAATCCCTAAATGCGGGTGGATATTCCAATACTTAGATTTACCAAGCCAGCACAAAGCAGCTTCTGTATTACCTCACTGGTTATGCAGACGTCCAAACAACACAGTTCCCTTAAAGTGCCCAGCCTCAGGCCTCCGTCCAGACACACATGTCAGATATAATGATGATTACTGAAAATCTTATCTCATCATATAAAAGAAAAGGTTCTTCTGATCCCAAAGGACCAAGCCCCAGACCCAGGTCAAATGATAACTTAGATCTTACCCAAAATACACGCTTATAGTCAATTCTTATTAACTAAACTAAAATTTATTTTAAAAAGAAAAAAAGAGAGTGTTGGTTAAAAGATCAATATACAGACAGACTTGAGTTCAATTCTTGAGGTTCTGATACATAGCAGAGATGAGCTTGCAGTTGCCAAAAGTCCTTTTAGAAATAGTCCATAGGTTATAGTCCAATGTCCATATTCAGGGTGACTCCAGTCAGTGACTGGGGATCTCAATCCTTGTGGCTTAAGGTTTCCCCCTCTTGAAACCCAAAGCAGATCTGAGATGAAGAAGGATCGTGTCCCAAGGTTTTTATACATTTCCAGCAGCCTTTTGGCCTGAGAAAACAATAGGCTTAACTCTCCTTCTCCTAAACATCATGGCAAATTAGCACATGGTAATTTATCCATTAAACAGTTCAGATACAGGTTACCACAACCTTCAAAGAGACATAGGGTATGTCTACACTACGAAATTAGTTCGAATTTATAGAAGCCGGTTTTATTGAAATCGGTTGTATACAGCCGATTGTGTATGT